ACTAATATTATCCATACATCCTTATGGTATAACTGTTCAATAATTAGATTATGTATATTTATATTCCTTTTATTATAAATTTCATTTTGATCTATAATTTATTATTGTACGATATACAATTCTGAAGCTATATTCAATTTATTGACTACTGCCTCCCACGTTTACAGTCACTTTTCGGCTTTATTGTGTACAAATATTATTGCCTATTTTATTGTGCGTTGCGGTCTGTTCTGTTGATATATAAACCCAGCATGTCTGAAATAAATGATTCGATTCGCATATTCGAAGCTGTTATTTGGTATTCTGGACTCAAGTAGACGGGCTAGGCGAACATAGGACCAATAAGGACGGTAGGCTGCCCGTACCGGTCTAACGTCATTTGTTTTGGCACAGTGCGAAGATCGTATAAATCGTATTTTGATAGGTGAATAAATCACGTGATAAAAAGCCGGACATAAAGTCATAACAAACCTTATATCACATGGAAGTTAAGACGTATCGATCACGTCGTTTCTCAGAGTAACGAACATTGTTTTTAGCATTTCCCAGTAAAGAAATCTCCAAACTTAGTCTAGTAGACACGATAGAACCGGTCTAGGAAACAGGGAAATAAGGTAAATTCATTTAAATGTGCTGTGTTGTAATACAGATAAATCTGGTAAGTTGCACATAGCACTTATAGATAAACAAAAGCACTCTGAAGCTCCTCAGAATCTTTTAACTAAGAGTTGTGTATGTGTTTTCATTTAAATCGACGAGTGATCAGAATGTAGTGTCGGTTATTATGTTAAGCCCATATACCTTATTCCAGCTTTTGGACAGGCCAATTTGTTCATTCTAATTGAATCACATTTTGACCTTGGTAATTATCCGCTTATCAATCTTGACTGTTTTTCATATGAGAGTATGTGTGTATACACTTCGTATCGCATTCGTCAAAAGTCTGTAGCTTAAATTTGTGTGACCATAAATATTCATTAACGCTTGACTAAATGGAGTTGGCTTACCTGTCGTTTCGCTTCGCTCTATTCTATTCGCTCCATGTAAAAAATATATGTATCCAAAGGTCTATTCTCGTTATTTGACTTATTTAATTCCGTTATTGACTAACGCGATTTAAGTCGATGATTACATACGAGGATAGGCAACATATGTATTTCAATAACAATCATTCATACGATCAAACTGGAGTCAGATCCCGGCCTCTAGAGTAGAGAGCACGTCGACAACATCGTCCAATCTAAATGACGACAAAATAAAAGGCCCCATTAAAAGAAGTCATATGTAGCGCGCAAAATAGAATGTGATTTCAAAAGTCCTATTTATCAGATTGCTGAAATGAATGACAATGATGCTGTTAAAGGTATGAAGCTAGTTCTACAGAACTAATTTTAAATAAGAAATACAGATAAATATTACCCTGTATTCTGTTCCGTCATATACTACGTGAATAAAACTACCTATTATTACTACACTTGCATTATCTTTTTTGATTTCTTGCCACTTTTTTTAACAGAAAATAATTGTTTATGTTTGTACCCATAAATAAATTTAAAGTACCGACTGTTTATGTGATTTATACCCAATAAACATTCTTAAAGTTGCTTACGTTTTTTGATGAAAATATATAATCAGATCAATAAATTTCTGAACTGAACAGAAATTAATGGCAAACAGCTAGTCCAGTTATATTTCTCAGCTTGTTTAGATATATGTTAACAGTAGTATCAATTATAACCAATTATATTGTAAAACTAGTGTATATTGGAACTTTATAAAATTGCTACAATTTTCTCGGTGAATTATTTCGATTGTACAATCATGTTATTTGAATAACATGCCTTTCCTAATACCGATATGAATCGTAAAGAATAGTTGAATTTGTTAAGTTCAGAAAAATCATTAATCCAGATCATCAACAAATAACAAAATACGACTTATTATCTATCTAAATTACATAAATGATTTTAAAAATATACTTTTACTATCTAATAAAAACTTACAATCTGACTGTTTTTTTTGTATAAAATAAAAGTACTATTTTACTCAATTGTTACACGTTGTAGAAGTTTATGTATCCAACATTTGCTTTCTTAAAAGTACACTTTCTTTCCTCTTTATTGATATATATATATATTCATTGATTGTTTTTTTAGTTATGTAAATTGATGACTGTTTAAATGTTACCATAATACAGCTGTTAATAAGGTTATCGGACTCATTGTGTGATCGTTGATTCGAATTCTATCAAAATTTAAATCCAATTAAGAATTTATACTTTAATTATGAATGATATGATCAACTATTGACTCTGCTTTTTCAAAGTGGCACAATCTTTTCATGATTATTCTCATTAAATTAAAACTGTTGTCATCGTATAAACAATGACTAAATGAAGTGAAAACAATCATTTAACATCAAAAATGTTTACTGCTGTTAGTTAAACGATTAACTTCGCTATTTAACAGTGTCTTTTAAATGGTAATTAAATTGAATCACAATGATGAGAAAAACAGAATTCATTTTATCAATATAACGCTCTCATTTTCTCTGAAATGATATATATATATATATATATATATATATATATATATATATATATATATATATATATATATATATATATATATATATATATATATATATATATATATATATATATATATGATTAGCTAGTGAGACATTTTACGTCGTTCTACTTATCTATAACTTGTCAGTACTAATAATCATTTGTGATCTTTTAGCTGGGCTTCTTAGCAATCCATCACACATACTATGGTGGACTAAAAAGTGTAGAAAGAATAATTAATAACCCCTATTAATTGTCAAACTTCATAGGTACAAAATGTGATACATCGAAACATGTAGTTCTGACAATAAATATAACCAATCGAATACTTTATAAATTGACCAACTCAAATGTTCTTAACAAGTACTTCATACACATATATGCATCTTACTGTTTGCATATATCTAAATTATAACCAATCCTGAAATCATCACTGTTTGACAACTTAAACACTACAGTTCAGAGTCAGCTATATGAATCGTTCACACAATATAGCGTGTACACCAGTTATTAAAAACCAGTATTCAACAACATATAAGTGAGGAAGTAGTATATATAGATTTCTTCATTTGATCTATTTGTGACTGCTTCAGTTAAAATGTCTTTTGGTTCGTGTTTAGAAAGCTGGAATACTTAAATAATCTTCCACATATTTTACACATCTTAATAGTTTGACATTTTAGAATAACGTGATTTCAGAGGTTTTGATTATTTAGTGATGAGGTCTCTGATCATGGCACTAGATGATATTGATTTAAACTGCACTATGTGCACCATTTTCCTCAAGGTTACAAACAACTCTCATAGTCAAGTGCGATCTAGAGCAAAATCTAGGTCTGGAATCTTCTGTCAGTTGCCGCTCACTACCTAAAAGTACGCACATACATTAAGTTAATAAATATAACTAACACAATTATGTTACTGACAGATCTCAGATAGATATAACCTTCTGATAATTAAAACATCGTGTGAAATTAAAGATCTTATATTTTACTCATTAACTTCGACAAAAAGTTTAATGATTTTTCTTGCTTTAAGAACGTCTTAAATTCATTTTAATTAAAATATTCTTCTAATTTGTTTGATGTCAATCAAAGGAACAGATTAAACCTCATTAAAGCATTCTAATGATTATTAGAAGCAATTTAAATGAAGTTCTCAACATCATTTGGAAAACGGTTACAACAGCTTTTGATATATTTTCAGTGTATTGATTGACATCGGGATTTTAAATTCAGTGATAGAACAATACTTTAAAATCAACTAAGACAAAAAGTTTTTATGCACCCTAATGAGGTTTATTAGTCCAGTTTTGACAATATCACAAAAGAAGAACTAAAAAACCTGTATATTCTTGCTAATTGATTAAATACAGCCGAAAGAAGCCATTGATATAGGTTTTATTATAGACGAATAGAAGGATGCTCCTATTGGAGTTTAATTCTCATCACTCAGTTTGGCCCTCCGAATAATTTAAAAATCAATACTAAAGTCTTACTCTTCCACAAATCTTTATACTTTTCCAAATATTCAATGTTCTTTTTTTAAAATTAATCTATCACAAACATTAAAAATACTTTCAACCTTTAATAGTATAAAAACCTTATTATTTCAATAAATATTAAACCACATATTCTTTCAACTATTTTAACCAAAACCACGTAGTTTTTAAGAATATAACAAAAAGAAATTCATCGTTTTTGTATTGTTTTGTTTAATATTTTAATGTGAAATAGTCCTCTACATTAAATGAGAGATGTAGTGGTATCAGTTAATACCTTTACACCATATCATTTGTATTAAAATCATAAATTTTATCATCAATATAGTAAACAACCTTTCAGATTCGTCCGTCTTACGTATGATTCATGATCTCAACCAAAAACTTAACAATCTCCACAACCCCCATACTGATAATTAACATGTGCTCACTAGTGACTAGCTTCATGAGGGAATTCTCGGAGTTCTAGTGAGAAGTCGTGACCAGTGGAGCTAATCCGTGTCGGGTAGAGACAGGTATCTACCTCAGAACAATGGAAGTTGGTCGCGCAGTTTCGTGGATTGGTTGATGTTAGACACTAGCACCATTGGCTCAGTGGTCTAATGGTTAAGTGCTCAAGCGCGAAGTAGGTCCTGGGTTCGAATCCCGCGGGGTGCGGGATCGTGGATGCGCACTGCTGAGGAGTCCCATACTAGGACGAAACGGCCGTCCAGTGCTTCCAGGTTTCCAACGGTGGTCTAACATCAATTGATTCATGATCTCAACCAAAAACTTAACAATCTTCACAACCCCCATACTAATAATTATTTATAATTAATAAATGTAACTTTACCAAGTTCCTTATTCTATCATAAATATAAAAACCTATTGTTGAACAGGATAAGTATTTACTATAAATGAATGAGTTTATCATTTCAAAATAAGACAAACACAATAAAAACAAAATATTATTTTTTTTAAACAACAGTTCTTTGTGTACGTTAAATTGAATATGTGCATTTTGTAATCATTTCCCTACCATAGTCAAAGTGACCAACAAACAATTCATGAAAACATCTATTGAAATATCATCCTGTATTATACTGTATGAGAACTATTGAAACTTATACACAAATGAAATATATAACAGTTTAAAAAACAAAAAAGAATGAATATGGATTATCAAATCAAAGACAATTCACATGTATGAACAGTAAAACTGAAAGATGTTGTGATACAATTTTATAAATAAGAGAAAAATATATGCATGACACAATATGTAAAAGAATCTAATGAAAAGAGATTATTCTATTTTAAAATGTGATGCTTAGTAAAAATGATAATTCGAAATTTGTAAATAGTATCTCCTTTCAATGTTTAAAATTTGTTTCGTACAATAATTGTTAGTCAAAGAAATAAATTATTAACAGTTATTAAGAATGAAGAAAAAACATGAAAATGGTTTTGCTAGCCAAGAGATTTAGAAAATAAAAATATATTGACTAATTATGTTTTAATTCAATTTCATCAAATGATTTTTTTCTGAGCAAAAAGTCGTTCGTTCATTGGTATCTCTTGATACAGTCAACAGTTTTAATCATCGCGAAATGCTGGTGGAACTTCTGGTTCAGTACTTCGTGGTACTGAAACAACTACTGCAATTACTATGGTGGTAATGTAAATAAAGAAAAATAAACGATCTAAGACAATAGCCAAAGTGCGCCATTCCATAGCCACTAAACTTTTACGAGCTGTTTCCTTTTGTCGGTTAACTAACATTTTGACGTATTTTTTCAACTCTCTCACATCACGCTCCAATGTAGTGGTTGAACTTAAAACTGATGGTGATTCATCATGATTAACTGCATTATCTGGCTCATTTTCTGATGATTTGCCCGCACTTCCCGGTATATGAGATATATTATTAATTGGTGTGGCCATTGGATAAGAATCGAATTGATTAGGGTATCTTGGGACAGAACGACGTTCATTTGGAGCAAACCAATTACTAGCAGCTCCTCCTAATTGCTCTTCTCCATACAAAAAATTACTACCAATCATATTGCATTGTTGAAATGCTCCACCTCCAAAATGTTTAATACGTTCATTCTCACAGTATGTTTCTTCATTTGTTGGCATTTTATTGGGTGACATACCTGGAATTTGAATCTTCTTGTGAGGTTTTATTATTGCCGGCCTAATTGGTTTTTTCATTTCCGGTAGAGGAATTCGCTGTCGTACTAATGTGAGTCGTCCAATACCCTCTATAATAATCTGAAAAATCAGGGAAAATATAGAATCTTTTTTGAATATGAGACATACCAAACTCAGTAATATACTTAACTAGTTAATAAGTATTTCCACCTATGTCAAATAAACCTGATTACATAGTTTTATATATATATATATATATATATATATATATATATATATATATATATATATATATATAAATTATTAGAAACGCTTACACAATAATCTTGATCACTCAGTTTATCAACAACAGATTGTGATAATGCGATTTAATTTAAAATATCAAGGAACATCTAAAGTACACAGCACGTAATTATGTTAAGCATAAGAAAAATTGTCAGCGCTTTATTAAGTTTTTTTCCTAGACTGTCAATTTACAATAACAAATTGTCATAAATAATGATTCAATTAGTTGTATAGTTATGCTAAGTCTAAAATATAAATATTATCTTTCAATGTTATACTTTTCTAATAATCATATTTTCCACATTTCGTATAGACAATATGATAAGTTAGTTCAAAATTTAAATTATTTGTACAACTGATTATCATATTATTTTCAGAAGGGGTTTGTGGAGATTTTGGAAATTTCATAGATTGAAATCATGAGTCAATTGAAGCTAGATCACCATGGAAAACCTGAAAGCACTGAACGGCCGTTTCGTCCTAGTGTACGACTTCTCAGCACTGAGCATCCACGATCGCCACACGCGGGACTCGAACTTGTTTTATATACACACAAGCTGTGTTAATTCGGTTATTTATCCACTCCGAAGAGGTGGCTTACATCAAGTCACAAAACGTAGGAAATACAATTTTCTACTCATTGGGATATAAAAAATTATATTTATTACTAACTTTCTACCCAATGTTCAATTTATTTGAAATTATTAAGTCCAACCTTAACGTTGATACTTATATATAATATTTTTATTTAATTTTACTAAACTATTTACAAAAACGCTTACTCTTCTCAAAACATAAGGAACTGATCCATTACGATCGCCTCGAAAATAAAGATGGATCACCAAAGTTGCCAAAAACGTGGACAGTGTGATCATAATCATATTCAAACAAAAATACACTCCTAAAATTGAAGAAATATTAATCAAAAAATGACTACCTTTGTTATTTGAAGTAAACTTTAATCAATAGAAAATTTATTATTATTCAGTGGGAAGTAACTGTATTTATATCATTTCAGAAAGTAGATGATCCTGTTAAAATATTAATAGATAGCTTCTTATCAGAATTACCTAATGACACTAACCATTTAGATATTTGTTTAATATGTGTTGTGTTACAATTTACTACTAACATATATGTAATAAAAATTCTTGTGTTGTTGGATGATTCTAAGTATTACAAGTCATATTACTTCAATATAATTCATCGGTTTATTCTACTGTATTATTTCATATCACTTCCAAATGTAGCAATCAAATATTTCATTCAATATGATATAATCATTTATATATTCACCTAGTACTTATTATGTAAATATCAAGTAAACTCAAATAAGTGATATTCTTTTTTAAATAGTAACATTTTATATTAAATAAAGTAAATAAGTAAATAAACGTACCAATTAGTGGGAAATTTTTCACAGCACTAGGTGTGGACTCAGCCAACAGTAAGAGTAAAACGAAAAATGCAACAAATATATTCATACCTGATTTGAATAAAAAATCAAAGTATTCATCAAATAAAAAACATAATGAATTAGATTTAATAAATTTAAAGGACTTATGGAGAAAAAATATCATAGAAAAAAAAATATATATATATATCTGTTTGCAACTGTTACTATGCTATATGATTTAATAATAACAAAATGGTATCTTAATAAGATATTTTTTAAGGCTGAATACAGAATGTTTCAATGGTTAAATCGTAAAAACTAATACTCACTTCATCAGTAAAAGTAAAAAGTAAACTTTTGTTAAGATATAAAGATTGGGAGTACTGGATTAACAATCTGATATTTTGAAATACCTCATACATTTATTTTAAAATAAAATGAGAGTTACATTCATGTCGAAGGAATGACTTAAACTAATTCATCTATTCATATGAAAATTTATAATGACAACACATTCATTCTATAAATCATAAAGCAAAGCATCTTTTAAAAGAACCTTGAATATTTTATTGGAATTCTTTTTGAAGATATTGTTTTATTTTTCCCTTAGTAATTTTACTGTAAAGTCTAAACTACCTGGAAGAAACATTTAGTACTCAGGTTAATTAAATAAGGTAACCAAAGTAAATCACAGTGAAGTCATAATATCAGCAAAATGGTGTTGTTATTCTTACCAAGCATCATTTTTGCTGGAGATTCTGGCGGCAACCAGAATACAACCAATGTTAAAGATGATAACAAAACACATGGAATCACTAACATGAATACATAAAAACTCGGGTTCCTTCTCAAACGTATTAAATATCGTAAAACTGGATATTCTCTTGTGATCACTTCATTACCAACAGTTTGACTTCGACGTCGATGTTTCTTAACTGATCGAATTTGTATAGTACGGTTGACATGGTGTACTTCACGTTCTTTCTCGCCATCCGTACGCCATTCATTACTTGGTACATAATCTGAGAAATCTAAATATGGCATTTCTTCTATGGGAGGTGAATCTGGAATCCACCATGATATGTCCATTTGTGTTTTATCGTACGTCCAAGATCCGAATTCTAGCATACATATCTATAAAATAATCCACATGTATTAGACTAATGAAATAATTTAATACAAGTTTCTTTTATTTTAAGTAATTCTAAAATGTGATTCAAAAATATAACTCTTAGGTTTTGTTTAAAAAAAAAACAAATCTGTAAATCACAATATCAAAGCATTATAGTTTATTCTCTGGGTTTTAATGAAAAAATGTAAAAAAAGAATCGATCAAGTCTGACGACAGAAAGTAATTCATCGACTACCTTCAGTGAGAATTTTCCTATGACACGGATCGATTAAAACTTTATGTGTGAACCGTATTGCTTTAATCCGGTTTATTATTTATATCTTGCTCATTGTGTTATCTAAAAAAGCATAGACTGGATACCGCTTTGCATAAAAAGCTATTCTCATCAAACTTCCACACTTCAAACAAAATATACTGTTAAATACCCTTTCGTCATATGATTTCACAGAAACTGCTGTTGATAAGAATCGTATTTAAGCTGTTAAATCAATTCTATTTCTAGCAGTTTTGTAAAAGTATAGGAAGTCCTGCAAAAGCGGAGATGATTTGTTACTTGAAGTAAAGTAGACATTTTTTTAGAGCTTCTAGTGCTTTCAATATTATGAACATAAATGTCATATCACTGCACCAGACAACCTAATTACTGCACATATTTTATAGATAGATCATCTAGCTGGGCAATGATGCTTCCAAAAGTAATTATGGAAGCTTTGAAAACGAAAACATTTTCTTTAATTATCAACCAAAAATAAAAATCATAGGCAACTCTAAACAGCATGAAAAAAGTGACAGACTGGAAATGAAATCAATGTTTTAATTATTGTTAATATAACTAATATGATTATTCATTTGTATCATTTCTATTATTCCTTTAACAATCAATTGAAAATAGAAATAAAATCAAATTGACGGTCAATGTGATTTATTAATGATTGTCAGAGTACTTTGCGACACATTAATATCAACTGTCTTGAGTGAAGTATAAAAATCAATTAAAGAATATTATTAAACGTGCTTAAATTCATTGTAAATACACTCTCATAAAATTCAGTAACTTCTTAATAATTCTAATTCAAAGCAAAAAATTAACTACATTTTGATTGCTGTGAAAACACAATTGCTTTTAGTTATATTCGCGTCGCTTGTGGATATGAAATATTGGCAAAGGCATACGAGATGAAGTGTTATGTCGTTGTCATATATGTTGTCAACAACAATCTATCAAAAAAGACTTCTAAGACTCAGTCTAAATATACATCAATACAAACCATGTTATTTGTATCTCACTGAATTATATGGACGACAGTACCCACTAAAGTTGCTTTAAAAGACATGACAAATTCAATAAGAGTGTAGAGTTTTTACTATAACAAATAAATCTACACTGAAATTTAAATAGTGACTACTATTGTTGATAGAATAAGAAGATTTATCCAAGTAGAAGAAACGGTATTTCGGGAAAATGTACAATGCAGGAAGGAACAAGATTCACAGCATTCAAATGTCTTACAAGGAAAGATGTTCTTCAACTTCAAGGTAGTAGGAAAATACTACCTGTTTTCTGATTAACTGAAATCGGTGTAAAAATGCCCGTGCCATCTTAACAGTCATTTGGGGTCAATGATATGACCAAAAATTACCGAAAATGAAAAACAAATATATATTTCTGTGTCCGAATTATTATGAAAAAAATATTTCAAATTAAGAAGAATGACTATTTTTTTATTACTAATGGCATTCAAAAATGTTTACTACCTATAATACAGTGGCTAAATAGAAGATAAATTTTCTAGATAGAGCAGAATTTCTCAATTTCACAACTATTTATAAAAAATGATATTTTCACCAAACAAAAAAAATCAAAAAACAAACGAACGTAACTAATGAAAAGGAAATAATATTGACTAACTGAAATATGAGTAGATCGTCTTGAAACTATTGATTTTGAAACACCTTAGTAAATGACTGTAAAGAAACTGTAAAGAAAACTCCACACACTAAATCATATTATCCTACTTAATACATTAAAGAGTTACGAAGTTTGAAAGTAGTTTTCGAAATAAACTTATATTACTTACTAATTGTCCTATCTTCGTATGCTACGCGACAATAATGAATAACTTTCATCTATATAAAGACGGGATAACAACAGTTTCAGCTTTAATTAAGAATAGGTTTTCGTTAAGTCACTAAGTTTAAAAATAGTAATCTCCATGCATCCACTTCTACCAGTTGATTGTATAATATAGCTATTCTGTTGTCGTAAAACATTATTTGTAATTACTAATTATCAAAATGTCAAAATCAATTATTCAAATTTAATATAGAAGCATTAATAATATAAGTTTAAAATTACTTGTGTATCAAAAGGGAAATATGTGATTTCAACTTCACATGTACTTTTAAACAATGCTTGTGGAACCCATAACATTTCTCCATTACTTGACACTACAACACGAGCATCTCTGTGTTCACGTAAGCGTTCATCAGCACTAGAATATGAAATATTTTGAAATATGCTATTAACTATAAATAAACTGAGATTAACAATCAAATAATTATCGGGGTTGTTGACAGAATAACATAATCATGTTAAAATCCGTTAGTTTAACACACACACGCTATTCAAACCTATTTGATTGGCTTCATCTCATACATTGTCTAAAGATTTATTTGACAGATTTCAAAATAAAATAAGAAGTTAAAACTTGATCTATTGCTTCAAAAGCAAAAAGAAACAATTTTCTAACCATCTGATCATTTTATGGGAATTTATGTTATAAGTAGACTCATGAAAGTCAACAAAAGATTTGTCGAATATATTTAAAGCATATAGATTCCAGAAATGAAGATCTCATCTAAAAAAGGTCGTTTATTATAAATACCATTCCAAATATTATAGAAACTTTTGACAATTTTTAATGACCTTTTTAATGAAAAAATCCTTTCTCGGGACAATCATTTAAAAATACACGTGCATGATCAGTCTCTATTAAAAAAGCAGGGTGAAATTTGTAAAATTCACTGAATCCTAGTAAATAAAAATGAACTGTAATACACAGTCAAAGTTTCTGACACACACAGGATATAGATATATATTTTATTGTTAAAATAAAAAAAACAACGCTGATATGTAAACAGATGTGAAAAATAATAATTGAATCGTCTAATGTTGCATTCTCACAAGAGACTTCTCCCTGAATATGTCACTTTAACAGAAAGAAAAGAATATTCTGAATATCTACAAACTAAACCATAACGAAACTGATATATAAATCAAAACTTTTAATATTTATAACTTGTTTTCTGTTATACAGCATTAATATCCTTATTTACAGCATTTTTCTTACCTAGCAGAATACATGAAAATCTACGCAGTAGTGTCTTTCATGGAATCATCTTGATTTAGTTTGATTTTATTGAAATAAATATTCTACTTTATTCTCTGATACAATTTATACCTGTTTTAATTTATTTTTGTTATTTATTTATTCCGAAGAAATGGATTACATTGAGTCATGAAACATGAGAAGTCCTAATTTCTATTCATTGGGCTATCACAAATGTACCATTAAATTTAATATTTAGTTAGATCAGTAACTTAAATAGCAGGATCACAATAAACTAACTCGCCTATTGATACTAAATGAAACATTGAATAACGACTATCAAATACAATTTCAGAACATATAGTCACTCAATCAATGAACAATAGTCATGTATATGAGACTTCACCATAGTATTTCGAAATGATTAAATTAAAATACAAGAGCAAACATAGTCAATAAATAACTTTACAAAATCATATTTAAACTAAATTTGTTTTAATTTAGAAATGAATTTTTATAGACTGTCTTTTTTTTCTTAAAGATCATATGATAAGCATACATATGCTGAATATTTAAAATGCATATCGGCAAGAATTTCGAGTTAAACTGACTTCCTTGGAAAATGAACTATTCAGTGATTAGACAAGATTACTCATCTTATAATGGAGCAAAATAAACTCCATAAGTTGTTCTGAGAATATACTTGGTAATAACAATAAAATAATTTTTTACTAATTGATTTTATATGCAATGTCTTCTCTTCACCTACTATCTGAATAAAAATTGAACCAATAAATATTCTTACAAATTATACAGTTTGATATCCGGCGTCCAAATCTGTGAAGGGAATATTCGAACTGTTTTGATATTTCCATAATCACTTTCATTCCAACGAAGTAGAGAATCTGTCCATTTCTTAAAAAAATTATTATTGTCATTTTAGTACTACTAATAAGTAATCTAATCATAAAAGTAAATTATTATTAAGTTGAATTTTAAAAAAACAACTTATAATCCTTACAAGTGAATGTAAAATAAAGTTGGTAGATTAAGTTTTGTGCTTCTACTGTGATCTACCATACCTCACTAGCAGTCAGCTTACTAGAATTAAAGTATATTTGAAACAATACGAGTGACAACAATAATATCGTTCTAGAATGGGTTATCGCTTTCTATTTGAACTGTGTGAAGTGCATAAAAATCATGTTAATCAAAATAATCTGAAGCTGATTAAAGAATAGATGACGTTCCACACTATAACCTTGGAAAACTGCACCGCAAGTCAAATTCTATTCGCGATCTAAGTAACTTAAGAAGCACAAATCTGTTCATTCAAACGAGTCTCCTCAAGAAAACATCTCCATATTTTAGCTCAGAAGGATAAATTTTTAAGACTTCATGAGAATTTCGGGAGTTGAGATCTCAGCTCAATTTGTTAACTGGTATATTTTTTTTAAAAATTATGACATTCAAGCATCACTTTCAGATAACTGAGTACTTTGGATGAACTCTCTAAACACTTAACATAGATTGAAGTCCATTCTTCAAGGACTATGCTTATGCATTGTGTGGCCTTACTGATAATATGTTCTATTTCTATGATGACTACTAGCATGATGACTTCATCTTCGTTTATTATTAACTGAGTGCACCATATCAGTTGTCCAATTCAAAAGGAAAGACTGGACAGTACAGATAAATATATAACACATGATTCGGCTAATATTTCTGGGAATTTATGGATATGACTTTAGTAACAGTTGCGAAAACTTTGTGGAAGATTGATTATATATTTAATGAAGAGCTAAAGGATTCAGATTTAGGGTAGGATGGATAAATCACTTATTAGGTTACACCTGGTTGTTTTGTGAGGAAACTAATAGAAAACGTGATTTGGTTCGGATTTAATATGTATGAATTTTCTCAGTTAATTATCGACTAACACCCATTAACAAGGATTCCGATACCATTTATCTACATTCGTGCGAGAAATATTTCCGTTTCAAATGTTCACTACTATGAGTAGTATAAAAACGTTATACATAATTTAAACAGGGATTTTTGTCTCACCGCTGTAAATCTAGAACAAAGCCTAATTGGTTACTAATTTATTATTAATACGTTTGGCCACTCACTACGGATGAGATGAAGATATTCTGGTAAATATCGATAAGATATATATCTTATGAGTATTACATGACCTTTTTATTGATCAAAAATTTCAAGTCTATTTATTCTCTAGCAGTAAAACATTTTCCGTTAAACTAATAGACTTTATACAATGAAGAATCCAAAGTTTTGTGTTAATTTCTTGCATTTTGGCAGACCAATCGAACTGCGGACAGACCTTAAAACAGCAATCAAGTACCAGTTACATCCTTGTCATAATGTCCTTATGCAACATTCGTTGGGAATAATGTTTTGTTAACTCATCATACCTTTCGCCTTATACAGACTACTATGCTTGTTGAACTTATTAAGTTATTGTTATAATATTTTATGTTATTTTGAACTTCAGAAATCCACAACAAACCAATTATATACCTCAGTACCAATTGTTCATTAAGACAGTCCTGTAAACCTGGTAATTATTTCAAATTTAACTTACATACATCGACCAACAATTAGTTCGTAAAATTTGTTTATTTTCATCTAAATCCAAAATTTGGAAAAGTTGTAATCCATAACGAACATCGACTTTAATTTTGCTGTCATTTACTGGTCGTCCAATTACTCCAAATTGTTCATATCGATTTAATAACATTCTGATAAGATTTTTTTCTACTGATTTTGTTTTCATCTCTGGTAAATAAATTAAATGAAAATGTTTCCAAAATATCGAGAAAATAAAATGTAGTTAACTGTAAATGTAGGCGAACAAGTACTAATATTTGTTGAGAAGCGCTAGAAAAATGCAATTACTCGATATAGGATATCAATTTGTGATTTAGATAGATTCCATTTACAATGTAAGTAGCTCATTAATTTATTGATTCGTTCAACAGGTTGCCTGTCAAGTCAGTCATCTACAACGTAGGAACAGGCACATATATACATCGGTCCAAGTTGCCATACCGCATTAACACAGCAAGATGAACACCGGATTCATAAAAGTAGTAAATTCAATGGTGGTTATACATAAAAGAAAGATTGCATATAAGGATATAGGACAGGAAGAAAGAATTAGTTAGTAGAAAGAAATATATGAAATAATTTTAGTCTCATAGTCTAAGGAAAGAGAGAGTGTATACACTGACGCCATTGTGATCGATTCTGAGCCATGTCACACAGAGTCTCCAACCATTGGCTACGATAGCCACACGGACCCCGACCAAGTAGTCTGCATCTACCAACATGGCTCAGACCAGACGTTAGTAACTTTATGGACTGATGCAACATTTTGGTTTGGCCGCCCCTAACTTTCTTCCAACCATCCCCAACACTGGTCAGCTTTGCGCGTCGTGGTAATCCATGTTCAGGAATACGTAACACGTGGCTCAACTATCTCAGTCGATGAAGATTCACAACCTCATCAGCTGATTTACCATCATTCTCTAATACCCTGCGTCTAACCTCACTATTACTTACTCGGTGATCCTAGCAGATGAGAGTAATATTTGCCTGTTATATTATTTCTCGGTTAGAAAACTTTCGAATAAGTTTAGAAATGTACCAAACCATCCTCAGATAGTAATGTAGCTTCACATTTGATCATTTTAAGCAATAATGTAAACATCGAAATTTTATTGGAAAGCTTTAGTATTTTAAGTAAAATCCTATCTTGAAAATATTGCATTTTTCTATCATCAATTCAGTCAGTTTCTATCATAACTTGTTCGCTCTCTCGCCTACTTTTTCTCCAAGATTTTATAAACTCAAGGATTTATTTAATAATTAGTAAACAACATTACACTTGATGACACGTTCTTAACGAGATGATGGTACATCAGTTAACCGACTGATCAAGATTATATTGGTCTTCATCTATAAGCTAACTTGCTCTTGAGGAGCAAGTTATATCGAGCTCACAACGCATACATTCTTGAGTAACATCCTCTATGGTTTTTAAATGGTAGATGGAAAATTATCAACAGCACAATTCTAAATCATCTCGTCGATTCTGATCACTATGTTACACCAAAATTATCCATTCAAATGATCTATATGGCTCAAAAAGAGCTCGAATAAATATCCTGTGTATACTAGAGGTCTTAGTGATTCAACAGTTTCAGATCAAACATTTCCTGAAATAAGCAACACTCTCATTCAGTCATAGTTCTTACATCCCTTATAAATTCTATGATAATCAGTGCAGAAATAAACCATATTAACGCCCTTGAAAATTTCAGATGACATCTTAACCGATCAGAAGGCCCTGTGCGTTTATTAACCAATTTACAATAAGAAATTGAAAAACTTGCAAAGGATATGAAGTTTTGACATATATAATGAACCTTTTTCACGTGTTATTTCTTACGGAAGAAGAAAATGGGTTAGGCTTAAGCACTCGAGATAAGAATCAGGGTTAGAAGTTGGGACTACGTTTTGTGGTTTAGAATTAGGGTTTGAAGTTGGTATTAGTTTTAAGAAATAGGAATTAGGATTAGGCCCTTTATAGTGAACTGATACCACCTTTAATGGAAACGTTAGGGTTACAAGGCTTGGATACAAAGCGTTCTTACTATCTTATTATAAAGGTGAATGAACTACGCCCAAATATCCGTAAGACACTAACTTAAATCTATTTAGTTCTTCCATTAGGTGCAAAGCTTCTCCAAAAACTTTCAGGTAACATTAAAGAATTTAAAATCCCGTTAGCATGTTACCCATATTAGATCCATTAGTTTCTTACTGTTTCTTCTTAAAAATAATAATTTAGGATTGTAGTCTCAAGAGCTATTCAAATTTCTTCCTGGTTTTTAGTCTCATTACGACTGTAAAGTTTCAGCATACAAGTAGGGAAATATCCATAAATTTTGTTAAGTTTTAGCTCTTGACAAGTTACAACTACCTGGTATTGCGTTTTGAACTATATGCTAGAAGCTAACAAACGCCACTTTCAATCTCATTGGTAGTCTCAAGATCGTCTACATAGTTTACTTCAGATTAGTCTGTTTTTACCACCCTCTTTAAATTTTCCAAATTTGTTTGTCAGTCGTTATAATCAACCCCGTTTTCCAATAACACTTATATCCTTCGAATTTCTCAAATGGACAGTTATTTTTTATAACTCTGATCCTTGAATCAATATATTTTACCATTTTTCTTCGATCTTTAGGCCATTACTATTATTATATCATTCAAACACATAAAGATTGGTACAAGGAAGCACCAAATGCATATGCGACACATAAAACATTCGATTTGTGTGAGGGCTGGGATACTGCCCGGGTGCACAAACTGAAACAGGTGGTTTCCTTTGGAAGTCACACTCTGAATCTTTGACCTAAAGGTCTAATCAACAAAGCCGTGCAGCAACGTCAGGAGATGCAGTCCCATGGTAGCCAGTGACCAACAATTGGCTCACACTCCATTTGTTCCCTTAGGATATTGGAGCCCATGTGCAACATTAGTTTGGAATCAGGGTTTTCCAACTCCCCTAGGTGAACTCTCCGCATCCACCAACCCGGTCAAGGCGCTGGATATTCACTTTTCGTCCTCTCCATTTCGTAAACAACACCCTTGCCGCGAGAGGGCAGTGAGTAGAACTTCCCTAACAGTGGCTGTATGCACATGACTATGTGAGACTATTTCGAGAGGGAGAGCTGGCTCTCCCCACTCCCAGTCGTACCAGGGCAATTGAGGGTAAAAATAAAATTTCTAAGCACTTTATGAAGATGACTTCTCTTTTTTCAACAGACTAATATATCTACCAAATAACTGTTAAAACAGCTGTGCAGCCTTAATAAAGGATGTTATCAGAATTCCTTTCATCTGGTTTTCCAGTTCTTTATCTTCAGTATGATATAGCTGTTTTTGACGTTTTCCTCAACATTATTTACTACCGATCAATTCATTTCCGCTTGGGATTAAGGATACACTGATTGTGATAAACATTCACTTTCAAAAAGCAGTGTATCCAAGCATATCACCTATCAAAGTACTATACAGTTTAATTCCAAATTATCAATTTTAAGTTCACTTGGTATTGTATACTTGAATCTTCCCACTGATGTTTACGACTGCAATTTATCAGTCTCTTATCGGTATATGTGCATATTGTGCGCATTCCCTTGATATTGCCTCAATTCACAAGCATTATAAGCAAAGATGTACCAGATTTATTCCAGAAAACAACCACAATGTTGTATTTTAGGTCTAAACAAACATTATATATGGATTACATCTGAAATTTTTGGAACTTTGTGAGTTATGTCGATTAATGTTGTTTTGACATCACGAGCCTCACAAACAAAAAAACTATATTGATATATTCATTTAAAATTTAAAAAATGCTGTTAAATGCCCTCTGTTTGATCTATACAGCACAATTATAAATTTGTATAATCACTTACCTCTAGGATGACCTTTAGGTGCAATTCCTGAGACTTGTAGTACCTCATTTATGATACCAAACAGTAATATAAAACAGTATTTTAAATCCATTTCTCCAAAAGGTGAAGTTCTGCTTTACTAAATCTCCATTTTACCCAACTTATCCGAATGTAGAAATTCAACTAGCTTACTTTCATCTTCATTATCAAATCTGTTTCAACCAATCTGCTTATTCCTTCTGTTATCTTTACTAAATAAAAGTTGAATCGACCAAACAGCCTAATTTGTGATTGGTTAATTAAGTATGTCTAACTACCCATCATAATTACTTTTAAATAAAGGTTACAGATTCAGTTGGCCTATATATTATGAAACTTGTTTATCAGTATGTAAAATATGCAATTTCCTTTCAGCCTCTGAGATCATTCTGTGATCATGAAATGTAGTTGCTCAATGAATGGGTGCAAGTAACTATTTGATCACAAAAACAATCCTATTTTACATGATCTTCCATTTAACAAACTTATCAGTTCACTCTTGATCTTAATATTTTACTCAAATGTATTTGAGTAGAAGTAATTGAGTTTAATGAGTAAACTTATTTAGGTTGTTCACAAAAATTTAGCGTAAAAATAAATTAACAGTAAATTGATGAACAGGTAAAAATTTCAAAACTTCAATGTTTCTTCAAGAATGAGTTAAATTGCAATAAACATAGGTTTACTTCATTCATCAAACATTAAAATGTTATTCATTAACCCATAGGTTAGGATATTGGATAATCAATCATAAGCGTTGTGTTTACGAGTTAACAGTAAAAATTAAGTCTCACCAATGTTTTGTAGCGACTAATTTTACGTCAATTATAACTAACACAGTATGAATACTAGGTAACTTAATATCGTAACTTCACGGACACTTAACTCTATATATCAGAATTGCAGTGAGATTTAAAAAATTCTCCCAATGGACTCCAGGTTGACTTAGAAAGTGGTTCACATCATAATTTTAACTACAGAAGAATTAATGTGACAAACCCACGTATTAAAATTAACATTTTATTGTGTGACTTTATGATTTCATTCCTTAAAATAATAAAACCCAATAATTCTAGGTATTCGACGGAACAATTTTTTGCTGAGGAGTCCCATACTAGGACGAAACGGCCGTCCAGTGCTTCCAGGTTTTCCATGGTGGTCTAGCTTCAATTGACTCATGATTTCAACTTGTGAAAATTATAAAAGTATTTGACAATTTTTCGAACTATATTTCATACATAACTTCTAACATTTCAGTGGTATAGCAACACACCAACTTGATCATATATCACATTCATACAGTTAAGAGATACTACAAACAGTAAATGTCACATAGTACGTAATTTCAATTGTAGAGGAAGATAAAGGAATCAGTTCAAATTTTATTATTGTTTGGTTGATAGCATTTGATATACAGAGCAATTGTATTCTATACAAAGTAACAAACAAATGATAGTGGATATAACAGAGCTATGTTTTTAATTTTTACAGAAAAAATATATCATGAAAGCCAACTCTTACTTACTGACATTAAAAGAAGTTGAACAAATGTTTACTTTGTATTTCTTTGTAGTTTGTTTGTTGTTTAATGACGAAACTTAAGTAGGAATTCGTTATATATGTAGAATACTTTTAAGTGAAGCAAAATAGAATTCCATTACAAAATCATACAAAGTTCATTTCAAACCGAGTAATATATTGAAAGAAGTAATAACTGGATTTAAACAACGTTGAACTTAATATAGTTCTGTAGGTCTTAAGAATTTAAAAACATCATTAAGTTTCTGGTATGTCCGATAAAAACAATTCTATAGTATTCTTAAACAGATTTCATGTCGTAATACTGTTTATTGGTTAAAATTACGTTTATTTAATTTCTATTGCCTTATATACGATATATACATTTACATTTTCTAAATTTAGCGTTGTTATCTTTTGTCCCTCTTATTGCAGTCACACTCACTACCAAGATCATTTTACCGTGCTCAATTAATTCATCAAAGAATCAAGCTTCATAGTCCAGTTAAATCCTGGTAAAAAACGGTAAGTTTTCTCATACTCAAACTTTACATTGAATCAAGTTATTCACTAGGATTAACAGACGATTAATTTAAATACAAAGAATTTCTAATATAACTCTGTGAAACTCCGGGTATAACTTAGAAGGGATTCAATGAATTTGTTAAGAATATCAAATCTATCTTCGTAACATAGTTTACTCACGATAAGATATAAGTAAATGGAAAATTTTGCATTGACACCCAAATTTAGTCGAGTCTTGTTTACTGTACTTTTAATGGAAATGGAACAGTTCAACTCTTCGTGTACAATCTTTGCACAATGAATAATCACTGTTGTGACGTGTGACTGCAGGTTTTGATAAGCAGCGTTTATATCGATCGATTCAGTGACACCTAAACACGTACGAACGACCTAGAGTCCTGATTGGCTCTGCTTCACTGTCTATCCCCGCCAGTTGAGTCCAGAAATATACATTTAACGTCCAAGGACAACATTAGACTTAACATGATAACTATTGGTATATTTTCTTGCACATCCTAACAATCACATAGCGCATTTCTAAAATATGAACTCATACATTAGATATATAATTTGTTTATCTTTCCTCACTTATCCTTTGAGTACCCATCATTCTTTCTATCGCGTTGTTAGTTTGATTACTAGTTGTTTTCCTTCTTCCAAATTCTCCTACGTACTACTTATATCTGTTCGCATGATTAGCGCACACCACACCCTACCTTTTTTAGATAGCAGCTCAATGCATTCAATCGACATCTTTATTTATCTGTCTTACATTCATCTGATCACATTTGTTGCTGAATAGAAAATAATGAGAGCCATTACGTATTTTAACATCTATTTATTTCCGTGTTAATTTTGATGCACATTTACAAAATGTTCAGTTATCAGCACACATTAGAAAAAACATTTATTCACCAGTGCATTTGTCAACGTTTTCTAAACCTTTTAGAGTCTCCATATTGTGAGGAGATTACACCATTCATAATTATTAGATTCAATTTAATTAACTTATGTTATTAAATAGTTTTGGTATGATCAAGATAAAGTGGATTGATGAAGAAAGTTTCAGCAATAAAAAATAATGGAAGTTCAAGAAAATGATAAAGCATTCCAAAAAGATACTTTAAATTTCAAAATATGATTAAAAGAATAAGTTAGCAGTCTTCAACTATTGCGATATCTGACAAGTAATTTACTGACCGTACAGCAGGAATCCATGGTTGTGTAAAAAATAGCTAGTGTATAATTAAAACATACTTTTAAAACAAAACTAGTGTTTTAGTGAATGAAAACTCAGATGGGGACGATTAATTTGTTGTTTTATGTAATAATAACACGGTTGCTTAGCAAAATATGAAAATCAAACAATAAATACATCATTTGCGCATCTTCTTTGCATTGTTCATTATCTACTTCCTTTAATTCTGTCGTTATTTTGATTACTCTCCGATTTTGTTTCTGTTATATTCAATTAGGTTATCTGGTTCCAGGCATTCCACTTTCGATTGTAGCTACATACTACCTATATTTGTCAGCGGAAGTGACATACAGTAAATTACTACTTCTTTACAGTGATAATTCAATGTAGCAAATAAACAAAGTTTATTGAACTTTTAATCATTTCTTATAGACTGAAATAACTAACAACAAGCAAAGTTAAAAACATTAAAAAATACAGGACCAATTTGTGTTCTCAATGGTTTCTGAAAATACAGAAATATTCATTTAGTATGGGTGGAAACAAGACAAAAAGATTTTATGCAAGTTATCGTATGTACAAACCGGAAATCAAATTTATTAATGAAAGTAGAAAGAGCATATTCTTTGCTTGTTTAATTTTCACGTATCATCGTTTTAATAACGATGAGAATTATAAACTCAATATTTCGTTTTTTCTATTACCTTTTCAAAATTCCATGTGTTTTGGTTTAAAAAACAAACAAGAAATTAAAATCTTTTAAGTGCTTATTGAAAGTTATATGATTAATGATGAGGATAAATAGAGATTTAGGTTACTCATTATTTTGAATGTGGAAAAGTTGTCTGGTGGTGAAGGCTTTTAACTTCATTCAACAAGTCACAGGTTTGAACCCCTTCACATCTATTTTTGTCTGAGAAAGCTGAATAGTAGGATTATGACCCCACACTTACAGCATGACTCTTAGCTAAGCTCTCGGATCCGTGCCTAGTAAATGAGTTAATAAATATGTGAAAAATATCTATAATTTTATAATAATAATAATAACAATAATTTTATTATAATAATTCAAAACTCATACATATCAATGAATACCGTTTAATTTATCAGTATACATACTATCAAACGCTCATTGGTGATTAGCTTCGAGAGGTAATTGTCGGAGTTCTAGTGAGAAGCTGTGACCAGCCGAGCTAATCCGTGTCGGGTGTGAGGTAGTTACCCAGAAGAAGATGGTTGTGCAATGTCTTAGATTGATTGAAGTGAAATATTAACACTATTGGATGCCGACTAAGTGGTATAGAGGTTGAACATTTACACGTGAAGTCAAAGTCCTGTGCTCGAATCTCGCGTACAAGGACGTGGATGCGGACTATTGAGGAGTCAAACGCTATAACGAAACGGCCATCTAGTGCTTCAAGAAAGCTTGCTTCATGGTTTTAATGAAATACATACTAAATTCCAATTTATTTTCCTCATTTATTGGCTTGAAATTTTTCATAATAGAAAGCTTCAGTGAAAATACTTGGATCCAGTTTGTCTTAACCCAACTGAAAATATTTTTTAAATATATATGAACGTACGTTTACATACATATAACCACACAAGTGGAAGCTCATCGATCTTTCTCACTTTCTAAGTTATAAGCTATCTGAAAAGTTGAAGCAAACAACATAACTTATAGAAGGTTGATTAAAACAGAATAAAATTATAAATTCAAAGAGATGGAGAGGAAAAAAAAGAAGAAAAATGGGAAATTTCGATCAGATTTATATAAGAATTGACCTAATTTTCATTAGCTTTATTCTGTTTATTATTTTTGTTTTCTTTTCATCTCCTTTTACAAATTAGTACAAGGGGAATTTTCTAGGAATAAAGAGAAAAAATAAATTATTCCTTTATTGT